TATGTTCCTTATCTGCAATTTACTTTAACTATAGACTCTGGAAAGCCATCCTTTCTTTCAGACTCAAAAAGCAAATAATTGAATTAAATGTATTTTCAAAAATGTTCCTGAAGACTAAATCCTATTTTTCTTTCGTTAAATAAGAGCCCTCTCTGTTAGCCTCTCCACCACCCAGCAGAATTCATAATTCCCTCTCTGCTCCTACAGAACTTTGTTCTTACCTCTAGTGATATATTTTCACACTGCATGTCAGCTAACTGAATACCTATCTGTCCTTTCCCTACATGGTGAGCCCCTGAAGACAGGGGCTATGCTACAGCCATTTTAAACTAAGACCTCACACCTGGAAAGCACTACCAATCAGAAAGTTTTGGAAGTAAGTGACAGACACCTAACTCAAAATAACTAGCTAATCTGCCAGGAAAGTGAAACAAGAGATGTTAGTTTCAGGCACTGCTGAATTGGGAGCGAAAGTTTTTTGTGTGTGTGTGTGTGCATGCGTGCACGTACGTGTGTCCCTCCTTCCTTACCTCCTTCCCTCCATCTCCATGCTCTGATTTCCTCTATGTTGACTTTACTCTCAGAATGGCTTTCCCTCAGTGGTAGCAAAAATTGCCACTAGCAACTCCAGCTTAACAAACTCACAAAAAGGAAAACCTCTCTTCAGTAGTTTCAACGAGAGTACTGGGGCCCCTCCATAAACTGATCATTGTGACCCTGACTGGCCAAGCTAATGCCACATGCCCATAACTGGGTCAGTGGAGTCACCTCCTCTAACTACAGAGGCTGGAAATGAGGCAAGGGTAACTGCCTGGGGAAAATCTGGACGATTCATTAAAAGAAAGAGGAAAAAGATCCTGGGTGGGCAAAGTCAACAGACATTCACTACCTCCATAGATTCCCAAAGGCTGGTGCTGACTCCTTTCTTTCTTTTTTTTTTTTTTTTAAAGATGACGAGTAAGGGGATCTTAACCCTTGACTTGGTGCTGTCAGCACCACGCTCTCCCAAGTGTGCCAACCAGCCATCCCTATATAGGGATCCGAACCTGTGGCCTTGGTGTTATCAGCACCACA